ACAGACAGACAGACAGACAGACAGACAGACAGACAGACAGACAAAGAGAAAGACTGCCAAGTTTTGGGGGATATTGTCAAGAACTGGCTTACGATTACGAGACGAGATACATTGTACCGTGTTCAGAGATTTGAACCCCGTGCCCTGTCGTCCCGAGCTGTGATGGCAATGACATTCGCCTTGATTGATTAAGCAAAATGTATTGTTTGTTTGTTTGTTGGTTGATTTGTGTGAGTAATGAGAAGCATATCGAGGCAATAATGATCATGTAATGCTGGTAAAAGGTAAGACAGACAGACAGACAGAAACAACAGAGGGGAAAGTTTGTAAAGAAGCAGGACCTACCAGTGGCGCCCTCCAACCACCCACCAAAATGAAAATGTATTGTCCACACTCATTCTTGGAGAGAGAGAGAGAGAGAGAGAGAGAGAGAGAGAGAGAGAGAGAGAGAGAGGGTGGGTGGGTGGTTGGTGGGTGCTCTCATTCAATAGGTCCCGGGTTCGAAACAGGAGAACGAGGGAAAATGTTCTTCTCCAAAATGTTCTCCTTTTAACTCTTTTCCTGCTCTCTTGAAACTTTCTGTCGTCTGCTTTCGTAGATTGTGACGTGGTGAACATAATAAACGTAAGGCAGCGTGGTGGAATCAGGCTCTCGTCAAAATAATCAAAGTGAAGAAAGTTGCATTTTTCCGCAGGTTTCTGAATTTTTATCAAATTTTTGTTTTTTGGCTCAACACCTTTCATGCCCAGTAAAGAACTCATTTGTGTGTATTTTTCTGAGAAAAAAAAAAACGTTGATTAAAGGCACAAAAAATAGAACATTTCAGTTACCACGGAGTCTTAAGCTAAGGAAATAATAAATCTTTGGCGACCATTTTCTCACTAATTTTACCTCTGAAAACAGGTGACCCCACCTTCTTCATTCACAAATATCTCGACTTGTATTCACGATAAATGGATATTTTTTTCAACCAAATAAAGACAAGTGAACAAGCCTTAAGACGATACCAATAACTCTACATGCTTAAAAATTGACGAGAGCCTGATTCCACCACGCTGCCTCACAAATGTCTTACTAGAACTAGAGCACAGGCAGAGTGTTCAAGACAACACTTCCTCTGTTGGTTGTTTGTTTGTTTGTGTGTCAGGTGATGTTTGTCTGTTTGTTTGTTTGAAATTGTTTGTTCGTGTGTTCAGGTTGTAACGGGATGTTCATTTGCTTGTTTGTTTGTTCGTGTGTTTAGGTTACAAAGTGATATTTGTTTTTGTTTTGTTTTTTCATTTGTGTGTCCAGGTTGCAATGTGATTTTTGTTTGTTTGTTTGTTTGTTTGTGTGTTTTTTAGTTCATGTGTTCAGATTACAAAGTGATGTTTGTTTGTTTGACGTTCGTCCGTGTGTTCAGGTTGCAAAGTGATGTGTGTGTGTGTGTGTGTGTGTGTGTGTGTGTGTGTGTGTGTATGTGTGTGTGTGTGTGTGTGTGTGATCAGGTTGTAAAGTGATATTTGTGGGTGGTTGGCAGGTGCTCTGGTGTGGTTTGCTCCTTCTTTCCTATCAAACGTCTATCGTCCTTAT